CCTTATTGTATCTTTTTATCATACACACACACACACATATATATATATATATATATATATATATATATATGTATATATGTATATATATATATATATATATATATATATATATATAAATAATTTTTAATAAACAGGTAGGGATCAAACATTCATTTATTAACTATCTTATATATTAATTATTATTAAACATTATCTCGTACTAACAAATTGGTGACCCCGACGTTATTCTTTTGACGTGAATCAATGACTTTTCCGTAATAAATTTTCAATTTTTAAAATTGCGGAATCCCGATTAATTAATATCGACATGAAATCCATCAAGTTGCCCCCCCCCCTTTATGGATACAGCATCGACAGAATGGTTTGCAATTGCTGAAACTCAATTTCATCTCCGAAAAGTTAGTTCATCGGAAACAGAATTTTATCATATCCTATCATCGCTACTGGCAGATCTGTGGCAAATTACCACAACACTTATGATAAAAATTATGACGACCCTCAAAACAGCGGTGATATCGATTAAAGAACAAAACCAGAATTGTTCGCTCGCTTGATCGGAGATACTAAAATGACCGTCAGACCATCACACTATTTACAAGAATTATTAGCGACAGCCAATAAAATTGAAGTGGGAGACGAACTCCTACGTCATATGTTTATAAAAGCTTTTCCAACAACAATTTCTCCAGTCATCGCAGCTCAAAAAGATTTCGATCTACAGCGACTGGGAAATTTAGCAGATGAATTAATCCCATTTGCTAAAAACGAAATTTACGCTATGAACAGAGAAACCACGGACAACAGCACACTTTTCAACAGAACGAGTTCGACAAACAGCATCCCTGATACGAATATCCCAATCAACTTTCGCCCATTTTATAAAGACCAACGCACTCAAATCTGCCGAGGTCACTTATATTTTGGCGACAAATCGAAAACGTGCAAACCATGGTGCAGATGGCCAAACAAAAAAAGTTTACAAATTCAACTATCTTCAAGACCTCCATCTCCAACCTAGATGAGATCACTCGCAAACAACATTTCTTCACCCAACCGTCGGAAAACTGATCAGGCGAGCCGAAGTCGCATCAATCGGCTCGCCACTTTTTGAAATTGCCGCTAGAATTGGATGCACAACATTAAAATTAATAGTTGATACAGGCGCATCAGCCACAATCATCCCAACAAAATTTTCAGCAAGATTATGTTTGCAACCCACTGCCGTTTACCTGTCAACTGCAAGTGGTCAAAACATTACCAGTCATGGAGAAACCATTGTTGAAATCCACATCCTACCATTGCACAGAACATACAAATGGAATGTTGTAATTGCAGATATTGTCAAACTTTTGTTAGGCAGAGATTTTTAAGTCATTAGGAAATCCTTGTCGATTGCACCAACAATAGACTTATTGACACAATAACAAAAAAACGATTACAACAAAAATTTTGCAGAGTTCCGTTCAACGAATTCAAATCAATAAACCGCCAGTTCCCCAGATAGTAACAAAACTCATCAATAAATTTCCAATGTTGATTGAACCAATAAATGAAAATCAAATAAAAATCAACTCAAAAGTAAAACACATCATCGACACTGGTGAAAGCCAACCAACATTTGCCAAGGCTCGCCAACTGTCTGAAGAGAAATATAAAGTAGCAAAAAAGGAATTTACGTTTTTACTAAACGCCGGAATCATCAGACAATCTAAATATCCCTGGGCTTCTCCACTCCATCTAGTTCCAAAAGGTACTCCTGGACAATGGAGAGCTTGCGGAGATTATCGTTATGTAAATGCCATTACGAAACCAGATAGATATCCAATTCCAAATATTCACAAGCATCTCAACTGAACTACATAGCAAAAAAATATTTTCAAAATTGGACTTATTAAAAGCCTATCATCAGATACCAGTACATGAAAACAATATTGAAAAAACAGCCGTAATAACACCTTTTGGATTCTTTGAGTACATGTTTATACCTTTTGGTTTTCAAAATGCAGGATGTACATTCCAAAGATTCATGGATGATATCTTCCTAGGTACAGAAAGCGCTGAAGAACATGGAAAAGATTTAGAAACGGTATTTCAAATCCTTAGCGAAAATAATTTGAGAATCTCCATAGACACGTGCCAATTTTTCAAAGAACATCAACGGTGAAGGACTATTTCCTACAAAAGAAAAAATAAACGAAATTGAAGAATTTCTAGTTCCAAATGTTACTAAATCTTTACGTAGATTTTTAGGAATGATTGGTTTTTATCGCAAACTCATTCCAAAATTTGCAGATATTGTATTTCCATTAACAGAACTTATAAAGTTACACCCAAGCTCAAAAACAATAGTGTTTAATAACAAAGAATTGGAAACTTTAAAAGCCATCAAATCTAAACTTGCCAACGTAACAACACTTCCATATCCAGATTCAAAATGTTCAAAAACCACTTAGTTACTTGCTTACGCCATAGGTGCAGCACTGCATCAAGTAGTTGATTCAACTCCTGTACCAATCGGTTTCTACTCTAAAAAGTTAACTGAACCACAACGTAACCTTTCTACATTCGACAGAGAACTACTAGCAGGGTACCTTGCGTCATCCATTTTAAGGAAGAAATGTAACTCTATTTACAGATCACAAACCATTATGCGCTGCCTACAAAAAGAAAACACCATTAAAGTCAGACGTTCAAAAACGATATCTTTCAATGATATCCGAATACATTGCAGACGTCATTTATATCCGCGGTGAAGAAAACGTTGTTGCAGATTGTCTCTTTCGGCCAGCAAATGCTGTAAAGATAGACGTCTGTGACTTTTCGTCGATAGCCAAGCCACAAGAAATTGATGGTGAAATAAAATCATTCAAGGATCAGTTGAAACAATATCCAATTGGCGATAACAAAAAAATATTTTGTGATGTATCAACACCATACCCCAGACCATACATCTCAGTTAATTTGAGAAAAGCCATATTTGACAGTATTCATAACTTTTCACATCCAGGTATCAAAACATCAATACGATTAATCACATCAAGATATTTTTGGCCAGATATAGACCAACGAATAAGAACATGGTCAAGACAGTGTTTAAGCCGTCAACAAAATAAAATTCACCGACACACGAAATCTACGATATCATCATTTAATTTACCGTCTGCACGTTTTGAGACTGTTCATATTGATATTTTAGGTTCGTTACCACCAGTCAAGCAAGGAAATGAATTCTATTCAAGTCCATTCAGATATTTACTCGCATGCATTGACAGAACAACTGGTTGGATCAAAGCAGCTCCAATGGCAGAAATATCAGCTTCAACAGTTGCTACAACTTTCGTGAACATTTGGATTGCTCGATTCGGTGTTCCTTTTTATGTTGTAATAGACCGAGGTACACAATTTGAGAGCGAATTATTTAACGAACTATCAAAAATAATTAGATTTCACTGTCTGCGTACAACAAGTTATCATCCACAAGCCAATGGAAAAAAGAACGTCAACATCGAATCTTTAAAACAGCAATCAGTTGTCGTAAACAAAACTGGTTAGATGCATTAGCTGTCGTTTTTTTAGGTTTTAGAAAAATACCAGATGAAAATGGAATATCCCCAGCAATATTAGTTATCACTAAAGATTATTGCAATTTTCCATGTTATCTAATCTATGTTAATTTTTATTTCTGTGCTTCTCTCTCGATTTTCTTTCTTTTTCCTGAGAGCTTGTAAACGAGACGGTTCGAGATTCACATGTCTTGTTACGGAATGCTCCATGATCTAATCCATCGGGGCCAAGAATTAATCCGGCGCAAGTATATTTTCCAGTCTGACGCCGCTATCAATCTCGAACCACCGAAAGCATTGCCCCTCCGATCTAATACAGCTCAAGGTGTGGGTGTGTAGAGCCTTAAGCAGTTTTACCTAAGTGATCGGGGATGACCAGACCACGGAACAGCCTCATAGTATCCCTGTCTACTGAATCAAAAGCCGCTCTCATGTCAACGTAGGCAATCCAGAGAGGTCTACCAACTTCACGTCCGATCTGTAGAAGGAGTGAGAGCGTGAATATCTTGTCGATGGTAGACCTACCAGGCGTGAAACCACTGTGCTCTCCACGGCGCCGAGATTGCAAGTAAGGACGGATGCGATCAAGAAAGACGCGGGCAAACACCTTGCCTGAAACTGATAGCAAAGTGATGCTTCTATTGTTTTTATATTCACGGCGCGATTTTTTACCCTTGTAAAACGGAATGATACCTTGACTGCCACACTCGGATGACGACGGAGTGCAGCCAACTAGCCCACATAGATCCACCTGAATTAGGCATCTTCGGATGAATGTTACATAGGCCTGGTGCCTTGCTTCTCTTTAGCGTTCTTATAGCCGCGACAGACTCAGCTGCGGAAGGGGGTTCAATGTCAACCCCGGGGTCTGGGACAGTGGATTCAGCAAAATCCAGAAATACCTGCAAGGGCGCCGACATTGGGCGGTTGAGCAGCTGGCTGTAGTATTCTCGCCATCTCTCTAGCTACTTCATCATCCGCCGCCAGTTTGTCCGCCCAAGCCTGACGATCCCCACGCAGCTGTCTCTTGCAATCCACACGCCCCACGTAGAGAGCGAGCGACTTTTTTCATGCCACTAAGTCTAGCCTGCCGTTTCGTTTCAATCAGTCGTCTTGTTGCGATCCATTCATGATGCATGGGAACAGCATGACCAAAAACCATACCAGCCGTCTTGGTCATTGCATCACGAAATGAATCCCACGAGGAGAGCTCATCTTCAAAAGCAGTAACGTAACACTTCTCCACCTCGGCCGCGTATGTTGCAGCAGTGACGTTATCCCGCAAAAAACAGATATTGAATCTAGGGGGAGGTCTTGTTTTAACCACAGTGCCCTTAAGGGAGATGGCTAAAGTGCCCACCACCGGAAAATGATCAGTATCAAACTCCATGCAACGATACACACAACAGTCACGAACCGCCCTCTACCTGCTATTTATCAGGATATGGTCAACCCCTTAGCCGTAACACCGTCATTTGAGTGCCACGTCCGTCTATGGATATTCTTACGGCGAAACCAGGATCCGCAGGCCCTAAGTTTCGCGGAAGCACAGAATTCTAGGAAACGATCAGAGTTGTCGTTTGGTGACCCGCTACCAAAGGGGCCAACTACCGCAGACATACGGCGGTCAACACCCGTTACCGCGTTAAAGTCGCCCATGCAAATGATGAGGTTGCTGGGCCTAGTGAAGCGAAACGATTCCTCCAGTGCGCTGTAAAAGAGATTTTTGGTTTCAGTCGTCGCCTCATTAGTTGGCGCTTAGAAGACTATTACTGAAACGAGCAACCATCAGCCTTTCACTGATCGGGTGCCATTCAATCAGTGCACTATTAGTTTGATTGATTATGGCCAAGGCAACATCAACGAACCTGGGATGACCCTCAGCTTTGCCTGACCACAGTATATTGAAATCAGCAAGACGCAATTCACCAGTGCCATGCCATCGAACTTCCTGCAGGTCCATAATGCATATACCTTATCGCGACAATTCGTCCACGAGGATCCTTGCGCCCCCTGTTGCGCAAAGTGTGCGAATTTTTCAAGAGCCGATCCTGCTGGTGTCTCGCAGATCAAGCGGGTTGGCTCCAGCACGGGACCGTAAAGAGGGGTCATAGATAAGGCTATAAGGCTGTTCGCTGTAGTCCGCTTATCACAACCGGCGAAGATAACCAAGACTGCGTGCTCTTGTTAGCCCCATCAACCCGCAGCGACTAGTTTTGAGGCGCTAGCTAACTGCCTTTGCCCCTTCACCTGTTAGTTTAAACAGTTGCGCCACGAGAAGGTCAGGAGTTAGACTCTGACTGTCAGAGGCTATTTGAGACGCACGCCACGGGGGTGCTTAACCTCATCAACTTCAACTACTACAGCTACAACTTAAAATCAAGTAGAGAATTCATAGATTTATTGCCTACAACAAAACCATTCATTAACCAAAATAGCATATTTGGATGTGGAGTCACTCTTTACAAATGTTTCTGTAGAGAACACAATCAGCATAGTAATGGATAGAATATACAATTCTAGTCATTCCCCACTATCAATTCCAAAAGATGAATTAGCTGTGCTGCTTAGAATATATACAGCCGATGCGCCTTTCGTTGGCCCGGCTAACACATTATATCAGCAGATAGACGGTGTAGCAATGGGCTTTCCATTGGGAGTACTCTTCTATGTTGCATTCTATGTTTTATGTTATATTCTTCGCAAACTTTTATGTTGGACGTATCGAAAAAATGTTATTTAAAGAAGAACCAGAGCTAAAACCTAATATATTCTGCCGATACATTGATGATTTATTTGTTACATATGAAGATCAAAGATTTCTACTACGACTAAGTTTGTAAAAATTAAAGTTTATAATGGAAAAATCAACTGACAATAAACTACCATTCCTAGACGTACTAATACAAAATGGGCAAAATGAATTTAAAACCTCTGTCACGTAATAATTTCCCTGCCGTTGGACGTAGTCTCAAATTTATCACTAAAAGTGCAAAGAGAAACAGATTACGGCGTTCTAAACGCAGAGTTATTATCAATGTTCAAACAAACCAGAGCAATTTCTACAGGTGTTGCAGTCATCAATTTCACAGGTTTTTGCTGCTCAAAAGAATTTTGACCTGCATTAACTTGGAAATTTAACTGTGGAAAAACATAAAAAAATGAGACTGCAAATGACAGCGCAAATATCTTGATGAACGTTGACTGCGCCAACCACAAATTAACCGACTCAAGAACCAATGAAACAGGTTCGACAAGCGATTTACATGGTTTGTGCAGAAGATTCTTATCAATGAACCACCAGTACTCCAGATGATAGATCCAGGAAATGAAAAACAAGTCGAAAGTACCTCAACGGTTGAGCACATCGTTGACACGGGTGAAAACCAACCAATGTGTGCCAACTAGTCCCAAGAAAAACAAACCTTAAAAATTAATTTGAATCTGGAGAATGTAAATAAAATTGAAGAGGGGAAGCCGCCAGAAGAATCCAATGAAATGAAAGTTGTTCTGAGCAAGAACAAAGATAAAAATGACATCCAACAATCACAACAGCAAAATGCTGTGCAGAATGTTACCATTTTATCAGCAAATTCACATATGAACGATTCTCTCCTTCCAGTTCTCTCTCTTTCTTTTCTTACCGCTTCTGTTATAAGGCGGTCCAGAGTGCATTTTATCCAGGTCAGCGACCTATCATAGGTACGTAACTCAAATGTTATTTGAAAGGGGACAAAACGTCTGAGAATTTTTAGCATCCTTGAGCTGTCGTGTCCAGTTCTCCAATTTTCTGCAGCAAAATTTTGTGTTTATTGCACAGTTCATTTTTTTCTCTGGTGTTTTTTGCCTTCAAAATTGTACATTATTCCCAAGTACATAAATTGATCATTGATATTTACATGGGAAATTTTTTCATCGTTTATTGTTAATTGGGGTAGAAATTGTTCATATTTTCCATTGATTTTTCTCATTCTTAATGTACTACATTTGTCTATTCTTGGTTTCATACCTGTCAAGTCACACCAGGCTTGGTTGAGATCGATCAACTTCTGGGCACCCTCAGAACTGTTAGCAATGATTGCTGAGTCGTCAGCAAATTGAAGCCAATTCCTAGATTTTAATTTGGCTGTAGGCCCCCATATATATCCACACTGCTGGTATTCTTTTGCAGAGTTTTCGTCGACACCGTGAAGAATGCCGCGGTGTTCTCCCCTACCGCCTCTTCCGTCAACGCGCTCGTCGCCGCCGCTATCTTCGCTGCGTCGGCGATCGTTGACACGGTAGGGTCGGTGTCGGTCATCAGCACCGTGGCAATCGCACACGCCACCTGTCACTCGATACCGCACACCCTCACCTTCCTCACTCAGGCGGTCGTTCCCTTGGCCGGGACTCGCCGGTCTACAATTTCTTCTACCGACCTCAGGGTCGGAATATACGGGCCGGGCAAAAGAGATGTTTTGCCCTTCTTGCCAGGCGTACGGACCGGCCTTTCGCACGCTCGCAAGTCTTCTCAAGCGTTGACTCATTTTTAATATTTTACAAATACAATACTACAAATTAATTCTTTAAAAATTTTATTGACAATGATTAGTAATCAAACAATTAAGATGTTAGTAAATAAAAATCTTTCCGTATTGTTTTCGTTGTTATTTTGTTTACTACCCTTATTACTAGTATTATTATTGTTGTGACTATTATTATTATTATTTAAAATTTATAGTTTAATTAACTTAATGGGATGTACCGTCGATCTGTACATCCCATTAAGTGGTACATCCCATCTGGTGAACTTCGATCGAACTTCTTTAGATTATGATGCACTTTGGACAAACTTCTTTGGACGACGATGCGCTTCAAATGCACTTTGAATGAACTTCTTCGGACGATGATGCACTTCGAACAAACTTCTTTGGATGATGATGCGCTTTGAATAAATTTCTTCAGATGACGATTCGCTTCGAATAAACTTCTTTAGATGACGATGCGCTTCGAATAAACTTCTTTAGATGGCGATGCGCTTCGATTAAACCTCTTCAGATGACGATGCGCTCCGGATAAACTTTTTCGGAAGACGATACACTTCGAACGAACTTCTTCGGATGACGATGTACTATCCTCACAAAGTCGATGGCCTCCTCGTCTCCATCGACCTGAATATCTGAATGATTCAATAAACCAACGCCAGAATGAAATCCCTGTCACCCCCTTTGTTGGAGTATATATAGCCTTTGCCTTCTTCATTTCTTCATACATCCGATTATGACATACAATTTATATCGAACGAAATCGAAACGTTCATCGGCGAACAAATACGGCACCAAATGTATAAACTGGCGTCTCTTGTGTGAGCTCATCATTTCCATACATCGCGAATGCGCCTGCCTTTATTCGTCATACATACTGTAACACTCGATTGAAAGTAGGTTACAGTGAACAAAAGTTTAGCCTGTTTGCATCATGTTTTTGTTCTCTATTGGAAACTGTACAAAAGTTTAGGCGTGTTCGCGGATTAAAACAAACATTGAAGAGCAATGGAGGGCTCGGGTCACCTTGTAGGACCCCTCTTTTTACTTGGATAGATGAGGTTAGTTTGTTGCACACCGATACAGTTATCGAGTAGTCGGCGAGTCGGCATATATTGATCTAATCAGATTGCTGATCTGACTTGGGATGTGGTGATAACTTAAAACGGATGAAATTAGATCGTGGCTAGCCTCACCGAATGCATTGCGTAAATCCAATAAGGTAACAATATTTGTTCTCTGATGCTTTTTAGCGTCTTTTAGCAGATGAGATAATAGTTGCGTGTGTTTATCTTCACCGTCAGAAGCTTTATTGAATGTTTTTATTGATGAGATTATTTAAATCAAGATATTTGTATATTCTATTGTTTATGAATGTGGAGAAAATTTTATAGAATACTGGTTGAAGTGTTATTGTCATAAAATTTGCTGGGTCGTTGGCATCCCTTTTTTTGTAAATCAATGTTGTCAGCTCTTTCGTCCAGCAGGAAGGAATCGACGACGTTCTCCAACATTCAACTAATAACTGATGAAGAATTGTGCGGAGTGTTGGACATTTTTTAAGAGCTATTACTGACATCTGATCTAATGGGCAAGGGGATGCTCTCGACTTGTATTTCCGGATAATTGAAAAGATTTCATTAAACGTGGGAGAATTGGTATCACAGGCCATTGAGGGGTTTGGTAATGTTTTAATCCAATTCGGTAGGCGATGTTTGTTTTAGCATTGATCCTATGAAATGTTGTTGAAAAATTGTTTACATTCTTCGACGTTGTCCTGAGGCATCAGACTAGCCGTCGGGTTGAATAATTTTTCACATGTCGACACAAAATTTATGTTTTAATTGGTTTGTAATATCGAGTGTTTTTTCAATTTTATTTCGCTTTGTTGATGCTATTCTTGATCTTATTTGTGTGCTTAGCGTTTTAATTTGGAGGTCGAAGTTGTGGTTTTTGCGGCCTAGCAGCTTTAGTTGTTTCAATTCTTTCTTTAGTTTGTTGATTGGTTTGTCAAATGTTGCTGTTGAATTTGTTCGTTGTTTAATTGTACCGTAGGTTGATGCAAAGTAGTTGTATATTAATGACGGAAAACTGATGTTGAAGTTATCAATGTCAGCGATGTTTGGTAGAGCTGATCTTTGAGAATGGAAGTAAGCATTGGCCTTAGACCATTGAATTGCTGTTGTAATAATAACAATAATAATAATAATTAACTCTATATATAGTAATAATTAACTCTTTTATTTTTTCAGCAATAAAAATATTCAAAATTAAACTAATATTAAATTAATACACTAATTAAAATCATAAATTAAAATAATAATTAATTAATTGATAAAATGATCGTCATTTTATGAATGAGTTAGAAGATGTTAAAGATGATATAAAAATTAGGTTAAGATTTATTTCTGTCACAGTATATTTCGTAAGTAGAAGTTATCGCACTGTTAATTAAGCCAGTTCTAAAATTCGTTTTACTTAACATTAGATTAAAAGGTTTCTAAAAGCCTATGGGCGAAATTTCCAAAGTATTAATTAAAATATGTTTTAAACGTTTGACAGGTTATTTTTAAGATTGTTTTTGTATTTATCAGTTTTATAAATTTTTTTTGCTTAAAAACGTTTGAAAGGTTATTTTTAAGATTGTTTTTGTATTTATCAATTTTATATAGTTTGGATTTAGTGAAGTTGGTTTCATGGCACACTGTTAATTCCAATATTTCTATTGTATCTCCGCAGACAATTGTTATATCTGATCTGAGCGAGTTGAATAGATGTGACACAGGTCGAATTGATTCATCTTCAATATCAGCAAAAACAACTGCATCGGGTTTAATACATGATTTGATGTTAATAACAATTATTGAGAGGATTTTTTGTGGCAATTTAAATATCTCGCAAGCGCCGATGGCGAGCCACAGCACGACACTACATGTTTGTTTGTCTGTTTTTTTGTGCAGAGAGAACATGATGGATTAGTCGTTTTTTCTATCTAACTAGATTTACGTTTGTCGGCAACTGCTTGATAGATATTTCCTCGTAAATTTAAATCGGACCCCTGGTAGGTATTTTGATGTGTTTGACCATCCGAAGATCTCTGAGTCATGAATCGACTTTATCGACTTTGTTCCTTGGCAATGGAGTAACGATAAATGGTTGAAGTTGTTTTGGTATGGCGTTGCTTGAGAACATTACAAGCCAGCTTTGTATTATTGTTTTGAATTTGATTGTCGATTTTTACACAGTCGTTGTATGATTCTGCCACAGGGATCTCATTTCATCATTGGTATTTAATTTTAAGTATCCGCGGAGTTTTAATCTCATCATCTCTGCATGATGTTTCAGTGATTTGATATTTAATCCACCACTTTTGTAGGACAGTGACAGAACTTCGGCAATGCAACTACTTATATGAAGAGACTACCAATCTCTTACAACCTCACGTATCTGTGAATCAAGGCTGTTTTCTATCCAAGTTAGCAATATACCATAAGATCGCAACTGGAATGATAGTTGAGAAGGTTTGGAGCGACTTAAGATTGTAGTTGTTGTATTTAAGTCGCTGATTACGTGTAGCATCTTTTTGAGTTCTATTTGGAATGCCTTTTTTTTAGTGTTTTTGCAGTTAAAATCGTAGGTTTTACCCAAATATCTGAACTGATCATCAACGCTTATTTGGGAATTGATTCATCATATATTCCTAGTTTCGTTAGAAATTGTTCGTATTTACCGTCTCGCTTTCGCATCCCAAATGTGCAACATTTGTCAACTCTTACCTTCATCCCTGTCTATCTGCACCAGGTTTGGTTCAGATCGATTAGAGTTTGTGCACCATCTGTGCTATTTGTTATAGTGGCTATATCTTCAGCAAACTGCAACCAAGCTCTTGATTTTAGATTAGCTGTAGGGCCCCATAGGTATCCACATTACTCATATTCCTTCTTCTCTAACATTTCCATTAGAGGATTAAAGCAGAGATTGAAAAAGAGAGGTGAGCTGGGGTCGCCTTGCAGCACTCCGTGTTTCACTGGAATTGACGGAATTACTTTTTCACATGCTAATACCGTTATTGAATAGTCCGTATAAATTGAGTTGATTATGTTGATTACCTGATTCGGGATGTGATTTTATTTTAACACAGATAAGGTGAGTTGTGGCTTACTTCGCCAAATGCATTTCTGTGATCCAAAAGTGTGATAATCAATGTTCGTTGATGTTTTTTTGGCGTTTTTCATCAGGTGGGTAGGCAGTTGAGTGTTTTCTGTCACTCCGTATAATTTCGGATAAAATCTTTTATGTATTGTGGTATTGATGAAGTTATTATTTTTTAGGTAGGTGTAGATTTTGTTGTTGATGCATGTAGAAAAGATTCTATAGAAAACCAGTTGTAGTGAGAAAAGTCTGAAGAAGTTGATTGGATCGTTGGGGTCGCCTTTTTATATAAAAATTTTGTGAAACCTTTTCTCCAGCAGGAAGGGATCGATGTTGATTTCCAGCATTCGTCTATTAGTTGGTGCAAAATTGTTCGATGTATAGGACATTTTTTAGAATTATAATTGAAATCGAGCAAACAAGGGTATGTCCTCGATTTGCAATTTTTTGATAATTGATGCTATTTCATTGTGTGTTGGAGGATTGGTGTTGCAGGGAACTGTCGGGTTGTGCAATGGTGGGACCCAATTTGCTAGGAGGTAGCTATTGCGCTGTGTACGTTGTGAAATTTTTTTTGCAGTCACCAGTGCTGAATAATGGAGTTAAGCTGTTCAATGGGTTGAATAGTTTTTTACATGTTTTTTGCATGTTGCCCAGAATTTATTTTTCAGTTGTTCGGATACATCAGCTTGTTTATTATTATTTATATTTTTTTTAGCGGACAGTCTAGTTCTTATCTGTTTGCATAATGTTATGATTTATATGTCGAAATTGTGGTTATTGCGGCCAAGTATTTTCAATTGTTTTAACTTTTTTTTCAAGTCTTTGATTGACTTGTCTTGGTGTTGTAGTGTTGATAATTGTTATGGTTTTGTGGTGCCTTAGTTAGATGCAAAATAGTTGTATATCAGAGATTGAAACAAAGAGGTAAAATTGTTGATGTCGACCACGTTTGGGAGGGATGATCTGTCCAGCTGGAAGTAGGCGTTTGTCCAGCCTACTGCAATCCTCGGCAGTTTTAATCCTTTGAGAGGTATCTCCGTGGTGTCTTTTCTCAATGTTTCTGAAGTCGTCTGGTTACGTGACGATGGAGGTGACGAATTTATATTTTTAGAGATTCTTTTGGGCCCTCCACTGAATTCCTGAGATTTTTAAATATTTTGCACGCACGTTTGCAATCTGAAACCTTTCCGTCCCTTGCAGCGCCTACCACAACAACACAATTATATTATTATTGTTATTTAATTTAAATATCGTTATTTTGAGAATTTTTGAAAATGCTAGTAGATAATGCAATATTCTTTTTCGGAGAGTAAGGTGAATTTAAGTTTTCATTGTTATTTACTGTTGTTTTTGTACACATCCAGGTGTGTCTACCAACATTGATAAATTTTTTGTTGCAATGTGGATCTTTGCCCGCGTTTACAATTGAAATTATATTAAGTAGTAAAATAAAACTATTTAAACATTTGAAATTAAATTTTAATAAGACCAGATTAGTCGACAGAATTTTTTCGCATCCTTGTAACTAATTTTTAAATTATTAAACTTTTCAAAACTTGATTAAAGTAAGCAAAAATAGTGAGCAGACTCAAAACCAGCTGTTTCTCGTATTACAACTTACATCATACATAATAATGATGATGATAATAATAATAAAATGAAAATTTCAAACATAAATTAAAAGATAAATAGAAAAATGTCATCAGAAACTTGAGGATTTAAAATATAAATTAACAATTCTGTTGTGATCGAATATTCAGGTTTATATATTTAAGTATAATTTTTGGTACATAAGTACGTACTTATGTACATTGTACATATATAATAAATGGATTGCCTAATTGCTCTAATTTATTTGAGAACAAAGCTCAATAATAACCATATCTTTTTGACTGCTTACAGTCAATTTTTTAAAATAATAGTTAAAATAAATTAAAATAAAAGTTAAAATTTTTTTTTTATAGTGGATGAGCTGAGTAAAGTTTGTTTTGTAATTTGGTATTAAAGACGTTATTTTCTAATTTTCAATACTTCAAAACTCAATTTGACATTTTTTCACTCTAATTGTAAAGTAAATGTGTTTGAACATTATTTGAAACATCATTTTCATTTTGTTGCTTGAACTTTTTGATGATTAAAGAACTGTTAGTATTTTGTTACTGAAAAATTATTTTGTTTGAAAGGATTTTTCTGTAAATCAAGCCAGAAAAGGTTCAAAAGATGAAACTTTAGGTCAGCTTGAGGACTTCAATCCTTTCTTCAATGATAAATCTGAGGTTGTAAAGTTATTAATTAGATTATTTAACTATTTTTAGATATTAAATACAGTTTTTCATTGTTGTATTCAGAAAAACGGTTATTTACATTTTAATTATGGAATTATTGTTTATTCTTTGTTTGACTACCTTATGCAGAAACTAAGGGAAATGCTCAACAACTAGCGCAAGACATAGGGAGACTGACCCTGCCGGCGCATCCAACAGGTACCCAGGCATTGAAAGACAGAACGGGAACAAATGCGTTTATTCAAGCCCTAGGAGACTCAGATATAAGATATGACCTTACAATCTCAATGATAAAAACATTCAGAGGAATCCTGGATCAGTATATGACTTTGGAATCAGCAAAGTTGATGTCGAAGTAGAACACAAGAATAAGGCAAAGTCGCGAGGAGAGTGGCTATCTAAAGATTGTCCAGACAACAGAAAATTACAGACCACCAGAAAGAATGCTGTAATTGTGAGGAAGAAGGCCATATACGACGGTTTTGCATTCAACAGAGAGAAAAAGACATGCTAACATGCTGGAGTTGTGAGGATAAGGATGGTTTTTGCAAACAAATTGAAGTAAAAAGCGTCCAAGGGACACTTTAGGACAACACAGAAATAAAATTAGATACCTAACCGGAGGAGTGGAGGAGCGAAATATTTGCATTTGCCTTACTGAACCAGCAACAAGTCCTGGTTATGACATTAAACTGACCCTCACTGCCTTGTGAGTGATGTTGGATCATCAAAGGCTAGGCCCACCGCTTATAACTGTGGTTGCGTAAGGAAGGGCGTCCTGCGTAAAAATTAGCCAAATAAATTACTTATGATGACAGAAGTGACAATGTGACAGATGTGAATGGCGTCGAGGGGTATTTCGGTTTCATCATAGGTAGCCAAACGGCAACCCCCGATCTCGGAGAAAATGTCGTCTAAACTGAACCAGCAACATCATCATTGGAAAAAGCCTTGGATAAGTGAACGCAGAGGAGCTTATTTATTCCGATCTGCGTTTGATGTGGCAAAACATTATATATTGCGTATGCGTTTCATATTGCGTATGCGTTTCATATTGCGTATGCGTTTCAACAGCTGTTCAAATTTAGTTCGTTTAATGTTGTTTTTTGCTGGTTTTGAATTGTTTGGATTTCAAATTTTTTTTAAATTGAAGTATAAAATACTGCATAATAAGTTTGCTGAGTTTTGTTGAATTTGTATTATTATTCAAATTAAATTATGTTAATGAACAGCACTGAGCCTATCTCATACGGACAAGATGAGTTCCATGAAATAAACAATAATAATTACACGCTTTCAAGACTAATTAGAAAATGTTTATTCAATCTTAAAGTTTGGAGACCGAAATGGGAGAGAAACAAATTGTTGAATTCACTTCTTGAACGTAATATTATTGCGATTAACTTAACTTGTTGTTAGGGAAATTATTGAAAACAAAAAACATGACGTTCAGGCTCTCGTGGAGAATCGACATTACTCTTCCGATGACGTTGGTCTACTTCGCTTAGTGCCGCCTGGATACATCAGCTACGATACTTCACTGGGTCATTTAGAAGCAGCGGTGTTAAATAAATCACACAGTCTGCTATGGTGGGCTAGTTGTTATCATCAGAGATTAATTTAAATCAAATTTGATTGATCTTGGGCTTCATCCAACAACTTTTGAACAACATGTGTTTGTCAGTATATTCATCTCCTTTGCTCGACATCAAATTAATTGCGATCTACCGACCTGGGTCATCGCAAATCTATTCACCTTTTTTTAACATGTTTAGATTGCTTCAGAGTACACCACAATTTTTAACTACCGCGTCATAATACTCATAATACTTAGCGATCAGGATCATTTCGAGGATTCTTCAAACCCCCACACAATTTAATTCTCTGATTTGCTGTCGTCGTTTTGTTTTAAACAACTTGTGATATTAGGACCCAATGGAGAGCACATAGTTATGCCATCTGTTTGTAGATATTCTATTGACTGTCAGTCGATTGTCTCAGGCTCAACTGCCGATGTGGTTTGGTGGACTGGGGTTGCTTAATGCGGTTCGGCTGGTTACAATCGTTTATAAATCTTCTGCTGTTGCCACCCTCGACCAGCAGTCTTCCATGCTTCACCGGTTTTTTCGTTGCTGTGATATTCCATTTTCAGTGTCTACTTCTGCAGACCAGTCGCATGTCCAAATTTTTTATGAAGAACAAAATAAAATTTTTCAAAATTTTTTGTCTTCATGTGGCGACGACTCTTCAACCGCTTGTTTGCTAACCATGCATACGTATATACGTAACATATTATAATATTTTAGGTACATATTATTGATGAGGTGAATCTCATTGCTCTAAACATTTATTGTTATTGGTAAAAAATGTTTTGACCCAAAAATGTGCACAACTCCAAATTAGACAAGACAAACTAAATTTTGTGGTTTAAAAATGTTAAAAAACGTTAACATGTTTTGGTGTCAATGTTAAGCATGTTACGTAAGACATTTAATTTGCAAATTAAAAATTCTAAATAAAATTCTAAAAATGAAAATAATTAATCATTAGTATTTATCGAGTGGTAAACGCAAAACATTTTAACGATCTTATATTTTTATTGGTAAATATTTTGAAATGCATATGTGACAAACGACGATGTTTCTTCTCATTGTAAGTTTTTTTTGCTGTTATCCTTTATTTATTTTTATTAAAATGAACGGGGCTAACTATCATTTTTAACTTACAATCTTTATAAATTTTAAAAACTTTTTTTACAGGTTAAGTTCAAATAAATTTTTGTCTCAGTTTTTTTTATTGCAAAATTCACTTGTTATATTGTTCTATTTAGTTTTGATTATGTTGTTATTTATTTTTAGTCTTCATCATATGCAATTGCCTAATTTTGTAATTTTTTATTGTGATTTTCATATGATTGCGAAAATTCCAATGTTAACTATATTAATTAGAAATAATTAACCAATTATGAAATGATTCATGTAGTCACAACAGCCGGCAATTATACAAGCAACTCAGTCGCATCCAAGTTCTGAAAATTTGGCTACTGCTTCTGCCAGTAACTTTCCAACAACGTCTCGTGATGCTCTAGCCAAACAACAAATAGAGTTAGACAAAAAGGCGGCTGAATTAGATAGGAGGGAACAAAATTTGAATAATATTAGACGTTAGTTTTTGTTGGATTATTATTTATCTTTTTTTAAATAATATTGTTGTAATCCTTGACTTCGTAACTACCAACACAGATGTTATAACTTCAATAGTAGTAGTAATAGCAGTAATGCTGTTCTGGAGGTTATCCAGAGAGCAGGCTGTCAGGCATGCTAGCACAGCTGATTCGTGTTGATTGATTGATGTATAATGCCTACTTTAAATTTGTTTATTTATTGTGCCTCAGCAAGTTTATTTGGTAATGTATTTGCGACTCTATTGAATAAGTAATTCTCTCTGCCTCTATGTCTTGTTAACTCTTTAAAATATTTCAAACTGTGACCTCGCCTTTTGGTTTTGACTATGCTAAAACGATTATTTAAGTCAACTTTTTCCAAATTATGCATTATTTTAAACAACTGAATCAAATCTCCTCTTTTTCTTCTTTCCACCAAATTTGTTAATCTTAATATTTTTAAGATGATCTCCGTAAGGGTTTCTTATAAATGGAACCAACTTTGTTTCTCTGTGCTGGACTCTTTCGATTACCTCGCTATCAAACTGGGACCAAACTGATACTGCAAACTCCAACAGTGGACGAATAAAAGTAAGGTATAAATTACGAAGCAACTTATGATCAAATTTCCCTAAAGATTTTTTTTATTCCACCAAGCATTTGGTTTCTTTGTTTGATGATGTAATGACTTGATTTTTATATTTTAAGTTATTTAAAAAAATCACTCCAATGATCTCTATATTTTCAACACCAGTGTTGAAGCTTCCAACGATCGTCAAGTGTTCGTTATTCAGTAAATTCAAGATTTTCGTTAGATGAACACATCTGCTTCAAAAGCAAACTTTGTTAAACGTTTATTTGAACCCAATAGTAATAGAAACAAATAACTAATCCAAATAACTACATAAATCAAATTTACAACTTCGCTTTTTCTGCTGGAAACCTGACTGTAAACCTGACTGCTCAGGGACATATATATAGCCTAGATTTTTTGATGTCTTTTTACGATCTTCTATCCAAAGATTACAAATCTAGCAAAAAAAAACAATAATTAAGATAACAAATAATATAGCGCAATTTTATCATTTCCGCGGTTGTAACTGTAGATTTTTGCCGGGCGACATTCAAATTCCGCAACACGCAGTCTCGAACCGCTCCGCATACGATTATCCACCCGAGCCTTCACTTCGACAGAATCTTTCCTGGCCGGGATCCGCCACTCTACAATAGACCCTTTCAGAGTCCGATATCACGAGCCGGGCGGAAGTTTGTTCGCGCCCTACTTGTTTACTAAAGACGCCGGCCTCGTCAACTATCAGCAAGTCTTCTTCAGCATTCATTATTTTAAGTAAAAATAATTAAGCCTAGCCAAATTTCAAATGTGTACTTCTTTTAGTCAGTAAAAACAAAATCAAACAAAACAAAATCAATCCTCTATGCAAAGTAACAATTAACACGTGATATATTAAAATTAATTATCTATTAATGTTATCTACTATAACTATCACGCAAACTATCAGAGATCTAAGCGACTATAATCAACAGCTAAAAATAACACCAGAGCGAAACCAAGAAGCTAAGACCCTTAATACCTCAACTCGCTGCCTTATATATGTTTTTACCGCCCTATCTACATAACGCTTTCTATATTGATTTGTTTAAATTAAATTGTAGAAATAGATGACACTAATCAAATTTCTGATGGATTCTTCAAAAACATTTGTTGTTGAAATGATTCAAGTTAAAATAAAACCTAACGCCAGCTATAAATAATTGACTCTTGACTAAAGAGAAAATTAAATCCAAGCTTTGTTAAAATTTTGTTTAAAAACCAAATAACTGTGAATTTGAGTATTATCTTTAACGAAGCATACTTATCTGAAAACTTCCTAAAAAATTATATATATATATATATATATATATATATATATATATTTACAATATTCTATAAATTCTACCGAATGTTTGGCGTTAATATGTTTGTAGTTCGTTTTTTCAATTTTTCTCACTAAAGTTTTTTGGTGAACATTTAGTTTATTAAAATTCAAAATAAACTTATTTTCCGAATTCATGCTGCAAATAAGGCCATATTTCGATT